CCAGTCTCCTTTCCCGATGGATCTGAAGGCATATCTTAGGAGGTCTACGGAGCTGACAGTGAGTATTGATACTGATGTATGTGGTTTGAGGACTTCTAGATGGGTATCGAACGGAATAAAGAGTTTGTATGTGCATGCTCTGCGATCCGTCCCGAGCCTTGGCAACTCGTTACGCTATCCATCCGTGCTTGGTTTCTTGACCATCGCCTGCTCAGGATTCATACGATAGGCTCGCATACGCAGAAAGAAAGTTTGAAGTGATAGCTTGGATTGACTTACAAAATGGTTCAAGTCCAGCATACAGATCTATAGCAAATACGGAGTAGCTGATCATATATCACCGCCGAGTTCGAATCTGACACACAAGATATGTAGTGATGGTGAAAACCAAAGGAGATTCTGGAGGTCAAACGACGGGCAGTCAAGCTATGAATGAGTCAGGTTTAATGAGACCCATGGGTATCGAGCAATCGATGAAAATAAAGTGGCCTGACAAGTTCAGAGCAGGGGCAATCGCCGGACAACAATGAATAGATTGTGAGGCAAATCAGAAGAAAGACAGTCAACGGGGCTTAGAGTCATACAGCACCTCTCCCACTCTTTAAGGGAACGATCCAAGCCTTTCTCGGGTTCTCGGTCCCATCATGCGGCCCCCATCCCATCTGCGCGAACGTTGAGATGGATTGAGGAGTGTCATATTGACCAGCGGAACCTGATCACACCACCAAATGAGCACCGTACCATCAAGCTAGTCGGCCTCCCTGACTAGATCGGCGGGGAGAAGAGAGGGGGGAGGGGAGTCTGGGGTCTAGCGCAGAAATACGGCAGCTACAACTGTTAAATCCGCCCCGAAACCCGTGCGGTTGAGGCTGGTCCGTTGGCTTGGAGTAATTGGAACTTCTGCACGGTTTTTACGCGAGGCAACGAGCCAATCTTGTTGCCGCAAAGAGCTCACTGCCGCCAAGACATCGGGGTGAGCCGGCCGATTCTGCGCCGTTGCAAGTCGTTGTGTCTCGGCGCCCGATTTTCTTGGTGAGATCTCTCCCGCCCTGTGTCGTGGTCGGCTCGCACTTCCTGCCATCCATCCTACCTGCGATGTAACGTATAAGACGGAGCTGGTGCGGCAACGAATGAGAGCGATATTTGAAGGCCGGCTATCTCCGGTCATTTCGCTAAAGCCGTTGACCCGAATCATTGCTTCTCAGCAAGGGATTGAACCCCTGCAGCAGGGAATGCTCCCTCATACGAAAATGGGCACAGCAGTAAGAGCGTTCGAATCTATACACATGTAATCTGAGTATGGAGTTCCTCTGAGGAAAAAGGAAATGCCGCCTAGCCTTTCGGTTCTGCAAGACATGGGTGAGGGCATATGAGGAGGGCTATCATATCTTGCAATTACCCACGCTGCCAGAAACGGCGGATGAGGCCGGCTCCGTGTATCGGGGCCGACGGCCCACTTATCGCCGAAGAACAACGGGATCCATGTGTCAATACCGCTACCGGAAACTTCGCGAATGATGGCCCAGATCAAGATCGAGAAACCAAGTTGTTTCTTCAATCAGAGAATTGCAGCCAGTTCCGAATTCAGCCATAGCCATGAGGACGGATGATAAGTTGTCCCTATCATTATATTTCTCCATCGTCTTCATCGCCGTCATTCTCGTCTTCATTTAACAATGGTCCCCAAACATCTGCGAAAACATCAGAACTATTCAGGAGACCATCCACAGGGGCCTAACGCGCTAGTGCTTCGTAACTGGCCAAGCTGGCTATCGTATCGTCTTCGCAGAGTCAGAAGCCACAGACCCCTGCGTGGAGGGGCTTTATGGGACCGCTCATTCCTCACAAAACAACATCCCACGTTTTGTCTAACCAAGGCCATATTAGCAGTTAAACAATGTATTCTAGTAGAGATCCATGAGAGATAACGCAGTGAGAATAACAATAGCCCAAGAACACAAGTATGAAAGGACGTCCCACATTTCTCGCTATCCCATCTCGGGGTACACAGCCAGCAAGAGCGACTCCAGTACGAGGATAGCTATTTTCAGGATCAGATAGAGTTATACTGCCCGGTGGGCAAATGTCTAAAGGAGTGAAGCGGAAAATGAGGTTAGATGAAGCCTGGAGGATAGCGAAAAGTTTACTCGCATGAGAAGAACGATGACCTTCAGATGAGAGGCAGCGGTGACAGCCGTGACAGCAACCACATCAAGAAGGTGCAATCCAGTCTGAGCATATATTTAATTTCTCATAATTCACCAGGTCGATCGCAAAGAAAGCAAGGCGCTTTCTTTCACCTCAATCGACCTCCCGCTAATGGCAAAATTTTGATCGATGCTACCACGAACAATCCTCACTTGAGGCACCTACCTGCCTTATTGACCAGGACATAAAACGCTCCCACAAAAAGCCGCTCTTCTTGGTTTCACCACCCAAACAACCTTCAGTTCGGTCAGAAAAAGGAACCCGACAACTCAAAGAAATCGAAAGGAAAAAATCCCCCGTCAAAGAAGCGACGAGACTCTCGCCTGGCAACATCACGAGAGTTTCTGCCTCAAAATACCACAAGTATGCCTCACTCTCCTCTGTGAGGGGAGAATGCTCAACGTCTCGAAAATTCTCATGATGATGCTGACTAGATGGCAGTGGATGAACCGACATTGAAGAAGAAAGCATCGCTGCCTCAGATGAGCCACATCTCGACGCCTTTGCCTCATCCTTTCCCCGCGGCACTGCCTCCCAAGGCAGCTCGCAGGTTGATGGAACCCCCCAAATCAGGATGGCCAGATGCGCCACGCAAGAATTTACCTCCCTGGGATCGAGTCGTTGACATCGTCTACCACAAGTACCGTCGCGGAAAGAGACCAAATGTGGAAGATTTCGCCTTCGATCAGTCCGTCGCCATGTTCTTCGTTGAGCGCGGCCGAGCCCCTGACCTGGATCCTGTATCACCATTCTTCAGACTGCCCGCTATAGCCCGCTTCAAGATCTGTCAAGATGTGATCATAAGCCACAGCTCGGAGCTCCCAATATCTCTCACCAACAGCCGCTCGACGAGAGAAGTCTGGAAGGACGACGAGTTTATCTCCCTTGCTAGCGCCATGGAGCCTTTGCAATCGTACCTGCAAGTCTCTTTTGCTCTCCGCGCCGACATGATGATTTCCTTTTTGATGACCGAGAGATTCCATGTCACGTACTCTCCGTTCGTCAACGCGTACTTCGACCCTCTGGCCACGCTGTGGTATAACAGATATGGTGCTTTCATGCAAGACATCATCCTTGAGCTCGACATGACACGATTTGGCTTCGGCCCCGGCAAGCAGGCTTACAAGCTTCGTGCAGGCACGATCAAACTCGACACCCTAATCAAGTTATTCGTCGAGACACAGTTGAAGCGCTCCTCGTCGCTCAAGAGCCTCGTGCTTCTCTGTCGGAGGTTTTACGGCCAGCGCCCCAAGATTTGCGCACCGTTGGGTGCTGCCAACTCGACGCCGGACGACCTGATTGAGGTAGACGAGCCAGAGGGTTCTCTGGCGGTGCAGAAGGTGGACGACGCCGTGTACTACTGCCCGGACGAGGAACTCAAGGTTTGTGAGCCGCTGGTGCGAATGGAGTGGATGATCGACTCGATGCGTCTGGCCGGCTTCAGCAATAAGTACACGCACTCCCTGATCCGTCGAATCTTTCCAATTCCCGACGATGCAGAATGCCTCAAGCACCATTCTTACAGAGTTGCGCCATCCTCAGTGTGGCCGCGGATACCTGGACAGTCTTCTTGGATCGACGCAGGACGTGGGAAGTTGAAACTCGACGACCACTCGAGAGAGTATCTTCGCGGTCTCTACTCTCCCGAGGGCGCAATTCAGCTACCGCCGCCCTACTTTGACCCAGTCACCGGCCACATGTCGATGCGCCCGCCCAGTGAATACATCGAAGAACCATCTGCTGCTTACGACTTGTACGATCGACCCGAGACCAGAATGACCACTTCTGGAAAGAGTATCAAGAGCAGCTGTTCGACTCCTTCTGACGCCGGTAGCCTGGAGCGGAGAGTGCAGGGGGTCATGAACAAGCTACGGAGCATGTCCCGATCAAGCCGTGGGACTGAGGCAAGATCTTCGCTGGAACGACACTTGCTTAATCGAGAGTCATTCGAGAGCACGCCATTCGAGGCGAGGTCTGCGTGTTCCGATGGCTATAGACGAAGCCCCGTCGGACGAGTCTACATGGGAGGTGATGGCACGAACATCGCAGTTCAAAGACCAAGGAGCGAGCGAGCCTCCAGTATGGCCAGCAGGACCCAGACATACTGATGTGAAACATGGGGGAAAATCGAGAAACAGCGTTCATGAAGAAGGATTTTTTCGGAAGGGAGTTTTGGAGTTGGATGGAGGTCAGGACAAGGTTGTAATTTTGACGATTAGGAATGGGTCTCACCTCGGTGATCCTTCGGTGAGGAAAAGGTGAAGGGGATGTGGATACCCGATTACGTGTTTGTAGGATACCTTGCAGCACGGCGTATTGACGTCAGTGCACCTTGCGCGCAAAAAAAAAGAAAAAAAAAAAAAAAAAANAAAAAAAAAAAAAAAAAGGGAGCATGGAAAAAAGCCAGAGTGAGCTTCAAAGAGCAAGCTGTAGCAATCCGTGGGAGCTCATTCGTGGACATCTCACAGCTTTGCAAAATCAAGAAGATTCTAGATTCCTTGGAGTGGCTAGCAGAGTGAAGAAACATCTTTTCGTAAGCAATTCCTTCATAAAAGGAAACAATTGGGAAGAGAAAAGAAAATTGGGGTACATCCATAAGGCACCCAAAGCAGGGAAACCCCGCGGTTGTGCTGTGTGGTGCTTTGATCTTATCGGGCTGTGAGTACCCCACCATCAACCTCCAAAGCTTTGCCAAACAAACTACCGCCCACGCACCTCTCCTTGCGCCCGATTGAATCTACCTTCGTATAAGCCGCATAACCCGACACAAACTCGTCGCCAAAAATATCAAGATGTCTATGCAACAGGTTCCCAACAACTTCAACGCCGAGGAGGCTGACAACCTCGAGGATGTAAGCCCTCGATCCATAGACATTCATTCCCCAGATCACAGAAGCAGTGTACTGACTCCTCTGCTGCCACGGTCAGATCGAGAAGCAGTTCGCGGTCAAGGGCACGTAAATTCTCGTTCTAAACGAACCCCGAGTGATAAAGAAACAAGCTGACTCGCTCCCGTCCGCAGTCGTCCAGCATATGGAAACATACTGGAAAATCCTTGAGAAGGTCAAGGGCTCTTCGCTACGCCTGACCAAGATCGACGACGAGATCTACGAGCACCTCCAGACGGACTTTCCCGAGTTCGACCCCGCCGCGACCATCAACGAGGATGAGATGAAGAGCAAGAACGGCAAGGAGCGCTGGAGGAAGTTCATGATGGCCTACGAGAAGAGGGTTGACGACTACAACTTCGGCACAATGGTTCGCTCCAAGCCCGACGTCGAGTATGGCCAGCACGATGTCATCTTCGGTAGGTCTTTTTGCAGACGCTGTCTGCGCTGTCTTGAGTGCTGGAGGGCATAAGTTGACTGGAGATTCAGTGCCCCGCATGCAGTTCTACGCCATTGAGATTGCCAGGTAGGTTTAGCCAACCCATTTCACCCTTTCAAAGCCAAGGCTGACATTTTGTGTCAGAAACCGCAAGGGTCTGAACGACTGGATCTACGAGAAGGCCCAAGCAGGCAAGGCCTAAAGTGCGTTCCGAACAATATCAATGTGTCTGGCTCTATTGCAAGCATCCGAGTGAACGAGCCGTCAAGATGCTGAGCCACCTTTGTGGTCAATGCATCACAAGCGAAAGCGATCTTTTCAGTCGCCTTAGACGGGTATCACGCGACGTTTCCTGGTCTCTTAGAAATGAATTATGAGTGAAGAACCGCGAGCCGGTCGCTGACTGCATAGCATCGTACTCGGCTCTGGATCGCTGCTATGAATTGGAGTTTCGCTCATATATAGCGTACGGCGGATGAGACGCATCCCGCCCAGGTCTCGTTTTTCCTTCTCGACCTTCTCGGTCGAGTTTTACGTCAAGCGAATATCAACAAGAAGTTTATTCATATTCGATGCTGCTCTTTGCCATTGTGACGACACAACGCATTTTGTTTTCGGCGCTCTTTCACGACAGGGGATGCCACTTGCGTACAAGAAAGGGCTTGGGAAGCTTCTGCATCAAAGAACTGTATGTAAGGCCGATGCGAGCTCGATAAACTCCTGGAAACGTCCTCATTCGCGGTCCTGTCTTTGATTGAAAGATTTTCGAAGCTCGGGACTGTCTCCCTGGCTTTCAAGAGCATTGAACAAGACCTCAGCTCTCTGAAAGGCATGTGAATGATCAGAGCCACTGCTACTGATCGCGGAGAGTTCCTTTGATTCGTTTCCTCTTTCATTCCCAAACTCTACTTTCGTCGCCCTTGTCATATACTCGGACTCTCTCGACAGGAAATGTCTACAATGGAGCTTCTCACCTATGATTCACAATGACAGTGCTACCTCAAGAGGATACGCTTGCACATCGGCACAGAGGCACACCTAGCTAGAGCCCACGATGTAGATATCGTCCAGCCACAAAGAAAGTAGCAGGCACCATATGCGCGTCTTCTCCCTCCAGCAACCCACACCGAGAATCTCAACCCTCAAGGGCAGCACCGACTCGCCATGCTCCTCTGGACCCGCCTAGGTCTTTTCTGCCTTTTCTTCCAGTGACTCTTTCCTTCTGAGCTCTATCCAGAGATTTCTCTCTTCCATCATCTCTGGCACCCCCAAAATCCTGCGTTTCCCTGGGCCACAGGTCAATACCATCGCTATGGATCAGGATCCCGATCCACAACCCCGGAGAACGGCTACTTGGAAGGATCTCTTCGCCTTTACGGAGTGGAAGCACTTGTCAATCTTGGTTCTTGCTGTCGTCGCTGCCTGCATTTGCGCTGCAGTGAAGACAGGGTACGCGCTCATCCTCGGTCAAATTTTCCAGGTCATCGCAGACTACGGCAGTGGCATCTTGAACAACGAAGACGCCTTATCCCAGACGTCAAGATGGTGCGTCATCCTCTGCTGTGTCGGAATTGGATCACTGGGTGCCAATGCCTCACTCATGTCGGGGTGGATCCTCTTTGGTGAATTCTCCGCTAGAAGCGCGCGGCAGAACATATTCCAGGATCTTCTGCATCAGAGAATGTCATGGTATGATTGCCAGGCTGATGGAACGCCTAGTCTTCTTGTTCGAGTCGAATCGTGAGTCGTCATCCCGGGAAGCTCCTGCTCATTGCTGACATTACCTAGACAAATTCGTGATCTACAAATGGCAACATCGCAAGTCTTCGGTTTCTTGCTTACAGACGTCTTCTCATCCATCGCCTGCATCACTGTGGCGTTCGCACTCTCCGCGAAGCTGACTCTTTTCTTGATTATGACGGCGCCCATGTCTGCGGCCGTCTTTTATCTTGTAAACCGCAAGCTGGGTCCCGCGATCGAAAAGCAAAGGCAGCATCTCGATGAAGCTTCCAATCAAGTCAACGCCTCAGTAAGCGGTATCGACCTGGTCAATATTTACAACGGCTTCAACCAGGAGGTGTGGCAGTATCACAACACCATTAAGGCCTCGAAAGAGCAGCACATGATTCAGGCTCATTGCAATGCCATTCAAGTTTCCTACATGCAATGTTGGACCTCTTGTCTCTTCGTAGGCGGCTTCTGGGTCGGTCTTTGGCTGGTGACGCTCGGCGCCAACGCAGGACAGATTCTTACGACTTTCTACGCGACTTTGACGGCTTTTCAAGGAATAGCGAATATCATCCCTCAATGGCTCATCCTCGTCAAGGGTATGGCAGCCGGCCAGCATCTCAAGCAGACGGCAGGAATCTCTCCCGATAAACGACCACAGAGAGCGAGCCAGGCCTTGGTCAACCCGGAGACCTGTCTTGGAGATATCAAAGTCAAGGAGGTAAAGACGAAGTTCCCTCAGAACCATATCATGGGTATTTAAGTAACATCTTCAGGTGACCTTTGCATACTCATCGAACCCTCAGCATATGATATTCAGGAGAATCTCGCTTCACTTTCCCGCTGGACAGACATGCTTCGTTGTCGGCAAGAGTGGCTCCGGAAAAAGCACTCTCGGCAGCCTCCTGGTCAACTTTTACGACACCTGGTACGGAGATATTCTTGTCGACGGCCGTAACATTGACACACTGGATAAGGAATGGCTCCGCAGGAATGTCACCCTGGTTCAGCAATCTAGTGTCGTCTTTCAAGGCACCCTTCGCGACAATGTTACCCTCGGTCATCCTGCACCCAACTTCGTCTCAATGGAGGAAGTCAAGCAAGCCTGTGACATGGCACTTCTGCAGTCTATGATAGCAACCTTGGACCAAGGTCTAGACACGTTGATCGACTCCGTCGGCAGCGGTCTCAGCGGTGGGCAGAAGCAGCGTCTGGCTATTGCGCGAGCCAGGGTCAGAGATCCTCCGGTTCTCATTCTTGACGAAGCCACCAGTGGACTAGATCAAACCACCAAGCAACTCGTCATGGAGGCGTTTCGCTGCTGGCGAAAAGACAAGACGACAATCATCATCACCCACGACTTGTCTCAGATTGCGGACAACGACTTCGTCTATGTCTTGGAAAACAGAGAGGTTATCCAGCAAGGCACTAGGAAGACATTGTCAAGAGCCCGGGATGGCCTATTTGCACGATTGGATTCAGGACCAAACGAAACTTGCATGGAGCTGAGTCCAGAGCAAGCCGATATGTCGATGAGTGAAGTCGACGATGAGATGACAGAGTCCCAGATTCAACACATCCCCATTGGAATCGAAGGATTACACTCTTTCAGAGATTCTCGCCAGGCGCGCGCTACCAAGAGATCTACTTGGCGCAGCTCCATTGAGCTCACCTCCGCGTACACAAGTAGATGGGGCATGAATGCAGCACGTCCAAGCTCGTTGACCGGGTCCAGTACGGCTCTACCACTTTCGGAGAGCGCTGATATTTCGACCGAATGGGAAAGTATCCGAGGTTCTTTCTACGATCAAGCCCCCTTCCACCGCGATTCTATCCAAGCCCCGAACCGGTCAAGTATAGCCGCCGTTCAAATCGCAGGCGACGCCACACGGAACTCTCGCGCAAACTCAACTCGAGTACATCGCCAGCCAAGTGCAACCCAGTTCGTCTCCTCTGACGATGCCGAAAGTCATGGCACCCAAGACCTTAGCCAGGAGACAAACATGGAGGTAGCCAAGCCTTCACGCACCAATGCCATACCCCTCAGCTCTGTCCTTCGCAGTGTTTGGCCGAAATTGTCAGGCAGAGACAAGTTCAGACTCATTGTTGGTCTCTTTTCCTGTGTCATCGCCGCTGGATGCAATCCTGCTTTTTCCTACTGCTTCGCTCAACTCCTCGCCACTTTCTGGGAGGATGGGAATAGACTGGCTGCCAGCAAGGAGTGGGTCATCTACATGATTATCATTGCAGTCATCAGTGGTGTTTCGATGTACCTTGAGCGATATTCCATGGAGGCTGTTGGTCAAGCCTGGATCTGCTCTCTTCGCCTCGAAGCACTGAAGCGCACGCTTCAGCAGCCAAAGGCATGGTTCGACGGGGACACGAACTCCGCGCGGCGCATCAGCGAGTCTCTAGACCACGATGCAGAGGAGATGAGAAACTTGGTTTCTCGCTTTGTGCCAATCGTTCTGATGGTGGCTGTCATGGTCGCGGTCTCGACACTCTGGGCTCTGACAATTTCTTGGAAGCTGACGCTGTTGGCCATCGCCACGACACCAATCATCCTGGCAACCGTCAAGATCCTTGCTTTCACCAGCGCCAATTGGGATTTCACTTGGGATGAAGCCGCGAGCAAAACGGCATCTTTCGTGAGAGACGTCCTCGTCAATATCCGCGTCACCCGAGCCTTTACCTTGGAGAAGCACTTCAGTCAACGGCACTCCAAGCTTATCAAGACGATCTACGACTTCGGAAGTGAAAGAGCATGGAGAATGGGCGCGCTCTTTGGTCTCAATCAATCAATGAATTACTTTGTCATTGCCCTCGTCTTTTACTACGGTATCTACCTCTCGGCTGATCAGACCGAACTGTCGCCCGCCAGCCTCCAACAAGTAATCAATCTTCTCCTTTTCTGCGTCGGCCAGGCAGGCTCAATGGTCAACTACATTCCGCAACTCTCAGTCTCGCAAGCCGCCGCATCACGCATGATCCGCCTTGCCACCTTGCCATTCGAGAAATACGAGGCAGGCGATCCCCGAGTTCTCAGCACCCTGTTTCCAATCAATATGCACAAGCTCAAGTTCTCATACCCATCGCGCCCCGAGCACCAAGTTTTGCACAACATTTCTCTCCAACTCGACCAAGGAACTTGCGTGGCCATAACTGGGCCTTCAGGATGCGGCAAGAGCACCATTCTCTCTCTGCTCCTGGGAATTTATCAGCCATCTCGATCGAACTCTGCCGGCCAAACCCAGGTGTCTCTTTTGACTTACGCAGGAATCGAGTTCAACCGAATCAGCAAATCTCAACTTTACTCTCTGGTCTCTTTCGTGCCGCAGACACCGTTCCTCTTCCCAACCTCGGTCGCGGAGAACATCGTCTATGGCCTTGCAGACGCATCAGACCTGCGCCATCCCAGCAACTTGAAAAAAGCTGCCCAGGCCGCGGGCATCCACGACTTCATCATCTCACTCC